GGATACTTCATCAGGACCTGCATACAATCATAGACAGACACAAGAAATCGTCTCGTGTTATATCTTCTTTAGAAAAATGTAATTATAAAATAGAAGTCTACCATTCATCATCATCATCGTAAGTCGTATACCATGTTGTATTGGATTGGGTAGTTGCGAGGGGTTTGCTGCCTTTAACCGCTTTACTGTTGGGCTTTCCCATAGTTTACAAAACATTGTTAAGCGATTCACGTAAATGGTCCAGTTGCGACTTGACCGCAGTTTGGATTTGGCTTTGTGTAGACATTTGCTTACTCGAGAATCCAATGTCACCATCCTCAGTACATGTTCATGTACTTACGTAAGTAAGAACGTAAGTAGTAAACATGGATTGTTTATGGTAATACCAGCAAATCGACCCAATCCCAATTTTGGATCTTCTGTAGTTTTTTTTGCCTGACGATTACGAGATGGCATCCCGTGATTCCGGGGATTCGTGCGTTACAGACAACGACGATCACACGAAGAAATCTGGTGAACACAATAACCCATCTCCCACAAAACGACAAAAACAGAACCATCATACGGCCCTTTTACAGTTGACAAAATACGAAAAACACCCTAAGAATTGGTGCTCAGCACCAACGATTGTTCGGTGCCACCTAGATTTGGTGGGAGGGGCGCTTCGGAAACCACTCCAGATGTGTCCGCCACTCCAGAGATGCGCGCCACACCAGATGCGTGCACCACATCTTTTGCCATTTTGGAACGTAGTTGTTACTGCACCTTTAACTTTTTCATAAAAAGTGCTGTTAAGGGTGCTTGGGCGCCCTAACGATTTTTTCACAAAATTTTAGGTTTCATGAAAATTTTCACAGCAAAATAAATTTCTTCAATAAGTTACCGGTGAGTACCGTAAGTCTCAGATAACTACGAGTTGGATAACCAGTGATTTTGCTTTTATCACTTTAGAACTAACTTCACGACATACAAGAGTCTCGCGTGGTCGAAATAGGCAGGTCAATTACGGCACATTAGTTAGCTTTTAAATCTCGCTGTCGGTTGCTCAAGCAGGTTACAAACGCATATACGAGCGAAGGTGCGTACATTGAAAGCTTTCTAATCCAAATAGGTGTATTGTAAGGCGTAGGTATCAACTCCATGTCTGAAGAAGACGCCAATGGGGATCTCTCTAGGTATGACCCGTTTGCTGGTATTAATTCTAGCGTCGTTGCGTATGATAATGAGGGCGAGAACAAGTCTAGCGTCACTGTGCTTGACGTCTGCTCTTCCTCTGGTAACGACGGCAGTGACGAAGTCTTTGAATACATAAGCGACTCAAGCGAGATGCTTGAAGAGATACTTGATGCGATAGGTAAAGTTGCTCTCTATTTTTTTTAGAAGCCTCCTTGTTCATAAGTATTAATTCCCTTTCATTGGTGTCTTTGAATAGATGGTCCACGTTCACACGCTCAAAGCACACAGCCACAACAGCCGCCCCAAAATGAAGGCCATCGCGTAAGCAAGGTTAACACGCGAAGAGCCCGCTCGCAACAACCAATTGTGGCGCGTAGTGACAGTAGCAAAACTGTTGCAGAGACGATGAAATTGGACTCGTCTGACGAATGCCCCCCCGCTCGTCTGACCAAATGCCCCGTTCTCGACGAGCTTTGCCCGCTCAGCGCGATGATCTGCCAGACACAACAACAGACCGAACACCCCGTATTAGGCGATCT